CCCCAAAACCCCAAAACCCCGTCTTTAAAGTAATATGAAATTATTTTAATAAATTCGCTATAATTATAATAATATTTTATTTTCAAAATATAAATAGAGGAGATTTAGTAATGAGCAAATCGCCTATTACAAATCAGACGATAGCTTTTAATGCTTCTGACTATTACACTTAGGAGGAGGTTAAGACTATGCTGGATAGTATTAATTAGGATACCGATTTGGTTTGGGTCTTAGTCTGTTCAATTTTCATATTTCTAATGCAATTGGGATTTGCAATGTTAGAGGCAGGCACAGTTAGGTAGAAAAATAGTTCCAATATATTGTTGAAAAATATGCTAGACACATATATTGGAGCAATTGCTTATTATTTGATTGGATTCGGTCTGGCGAATAATGCTAATGGCGGCATTATCGGAAATGCTTAGTTCGCATCAAAAAATTTTGGGCCACATGAATACTTATAGTGGATATTTCAATATTCGGTTTGTTCAAATATTACAACAATAGTAGCAGGTAGTTTAGCAGAGAGAACTTTTGTAGATACTTACATGATCTTTGCTTTCTTAATGACTAGTTTAATCTATCCTATTTTAGCATCTTGGGTTGTTGGGGGTGGATGGCTATAATAACTTGGATTTAAAGATTTCGCAGGCTCAGGTTATGTCCATATGCTTGGAGGTTGTAGTGGTCTTGTTGGGACAATCATTTTAGGCCCTCGACTGGGTATTCTTGGATCTACTCAATAGTAGAGCTAGCAAACAGTAGTTCAAGGTTAGCCTTAATCTTATAAAAGGAAAAGTACTGGCTCCTTAAAAAACTAATAGTTACCTGGATTTATTCACTAAAACTCTAAAAATAAATTCATTAGTGATTTCGATCAAAATTTTGTTAATGCAGGAGGGAATAAAGATGATAACTAAATCATAAAGATCAAACATTCAAGATAGATGTCTATTAATGAATCAGCCATTGGAAATCAGATATCAGATAGAGGAGATGATCCAGATGATCTTTAAGATCTTTAGTAGATCCAAAATGCAATTCAATCAAAGCAGAAAAGATCCTTTAGTATAGCATCCAGAGATAAGAACTATTTCAATAGAAAATTTGAGATTTTACATAATGATGAACCAGCTAAGTTGAAAGTAGAGAAAATACTAGAAGATCTCAAAATAACTCCAAGTGATTACCCTGGTTCCAGTGAAGTGCCCTATTATCCTCATCAAAATGAGATATAAGATGCTATCACTGAAAGCCCAATAAAATTTAACTATGATCCCTATTAATTTAGTAAAAAGACTCCTGGTAGATTAGACATGCAAGTAGGATAAAAAGCTTATGGAAAGTTATTTTTGAGTCCAAGACAAAAGTAAAGAATAAAGAAGATAAGAGAGGAGTATCCAGAATTTTAGATAGTTGATGATTTATAGGTTAACTAAATAATTAAGCTTTACGACACAAACATTAAAGCAGCCTTTAGACCTAATAGTGTTCCTCTCATTGTCTAAGGTACATTATTTCTATGGTTTTGTTGGCTTTTCTTTAATGGAGGATCAAGTTTGTCAGTTTCATAAGCTAAACTTAAAAATTAGCCTGAAAAAGTAATTATGAATACTTTAATTTCATCGGCATCAGCATGTGTGAGCATTTTGTTTCTTAGACCCTTATTAATGCAAAAGTCAGACTTCACAGAAAAATATCCTACTTAGCAAATTTGTAATGCACTTATAGTTGGATTGGTGTCTATCACAGGAGCAAGCAATAATGTCAAGCCTGGAGTTGCATTGATTATAGGTGTCATAGGGACAATATTTTATTGTATTGCTTGCAGATTATTTGAGAAATTCAAAATTGATGACCCTCTTGAGGCTTCCTAAATTCACGCAGTCTGTGGGTTATGGGGAGTTTTATGCATTGGATTCTTTGATGAAACTCATGGTTTATTTTTCATTTGGAATGCCAGACAATTAGGAATATAAGCTTTAGGCGCTTTTGCTATCATTGTATGGTCCTGTGGAACTAGCTTTATCTATTTCTACAGCTTGAATAAAGTAAATAAATTTAGAGTAGGACATATCTATGAGATTACTGGTATGGATGTATTGATGCATGGAGGTACTGATCTGTTATCGAATGATATGATTAATAAAATTGAGCAGGAGTAGAGAACTCTTGCTAATAGAAATAATAGATGAATTTAATCTAGTAAAACAAATTCACAAGTAGGAGATATATTATATTAAAATTAGTATCGCATTCGATAAATAAATGATTAATTTTTTTAATCTTAATTTAATAAATTTGAATTCAATTTCAGCATAGTGGGGTTTTGGGGTTTTGGGGTTTTGGGG